TTATAAAAAAAGTTTTCCTTTTCCAGTATTCCTAGCACCAGTTTTCAAAGAGAATGTCCTTTCCCAAATGTATATTTTTGATGCCTTTGGCTCTGACTATTCAGAGTCTTTTGTAGTTTCATACAAATTTTAGGATTGCTTTTTCTATTTTTGTGAAGAATGCCATTGGTATTTTGATAGACATTGCACTGAATCTGTAAATCACTTTGAATAATATTGACTTTTTAATAATATATTTTCAATATATAAGCATGGAATATCTTTCCATTTTTTTGTGTGTATCCACTTCAATTTCTGTCATCAGTGTTTTATAGTTTTTCTTGTAAAGATCTTTCATGTCTTTGATTAAGCTTATTTCTAGGTATTTTACATTTTTTGTAGCTGTTGTAAATGGGGGATTGGTTCCTTGGTTTATGTTTCATATTATTATCTGTTGACATATATAAATGCTGATTTTTGTATCCTGCCCATTTCTGATTTTATTTATCAGTTTCAACATTTTCTAAATGGAGTTTTTAGCTTTTTCTGAATATGAAGTCACGTTATTGGCAAACAAGTCTAATTTAATGTCTTCCTTTCCAATTTGAATGCGCTTTATTTCTTTCTCTTTCCTGATTACTCTGGCTTGGACTTCTAGTATTACCTTGAAGAAAAATAGTGAAAGTAGGCATTCTTGTTAGGTTCAGATCTTAGGGGAAAGGTTTTCAACTTTTCCCCAGTTCAATATGATTCTAAGTATGGGCTGGTCACACGTGACCTGTATTGTTTAAAGTATATTTATTCTATGCTTAGTTTGTTGATAGTTTTTATTAAGAAGAGATGTTGAATTTTATCAAGTGCTTTTTCAGCATCTATTGAAATGATCATATGATTTTTTTCCTTGCTTCTGTTAATGTGATACATCCTATTTATTGATTTGCATGAATCCTGCTTAATCATAGTGAATGATCTTTCTAATGTATTGCTGAATTTTGTTTGATAGTATTTTGAGGATTTTTGCATCTGTGTAGTTTTCTTATGTTATTGTTGTGTCCTTGTCTGGATTTGTCATCAGGGTAATGCTGGCCTTGTAGAATGAGTTTGGAAGTATTCTTGCCAATGTTTTTGAATAGTTTGAGAAGGATAGGTATTAGTTCTTTAAATGTTTGGTAGAACTCAGAAAAAAAAGCTATCAAGTCCTGGGCTTTTCTCTGATGTAAGACTTTTTATTACTGCTCCAATCTTGCTCCTTATCAGTTGGTTTGGATTTTCTTTTTCTTCATGGTTCCATCTTGGTGGGTTATATGTGTCCAAGAACTGATCTATTTCTTATGGATTTTAGACTGTGTTACTATGTCGTTGTTTATAATGGCTCTTTGTATTTTTGTGTTATCAGTTATTGTGTCCCCTTTTTATTTCTGGTTTTATTTATTTGAGTTTACTCTCTTTTTTTCCTAGTTAGTTTAAAAGTTCTGTCAGCTTTGTTTATCTTCAATTTCATTCTGCTCTGGTTGCTATAATTTAGTTTTTTTGTTTGTTTGTTTGGTTGGGTTTTTTTGAGTTGGAGTCTCACTCTGCTGCCCAGGCTGGAGTACAGTGGCACACTCATGGCTACCCCAGCATCAACCTGCTGGACTCAGGTGATCCTTCCACCTCAGCCTTCTAAGCAGCTGGAACTGCAGACACTCACTGCCACGCCAGCTAATTTTTTGATTTATTGTAGATATGAGGTCTCGCCAGGTTGCCCAGACTGTTCTCGAACCCATGGGCTCATGCAGTCCCCTCACCTTAGCGTCCCAAAGTGCTGGGATTACAGGCTGGAGTCACCATGCCCAGCAGTTTATTTCTTTTTACAAATTTTGTTATGTTGCTTATTTGAAGTCTTCTTTTTGATGTAAAACTTTATTACTATAAACTTTCCTCTTAGTATTACTTTTGCTGTCTCCCATAGATTTTAGTATGTCATTGTTTCCATTTGTTTTCAAGAGATGCCTAAATGTCCTTCTTAATTTCTTCATTAACCCTTGGGTCATTTAGGAGAATATTGCTTAATTTTCATGTTTCTGTGTAGTTTCCAAGGTTCCTTTTGCTATTGATTTCAAGTTTTATTACATATGGTCAGAAAAGATACTTGATATGATTTTGACTCTTGAATTTGTTGAAACTTGTTTTATGACCTACCCTATAGTCATTCTGAAGAATGTTTCATGCACTGAAGAGAAGAATGTGTATTCTGTGGCAGCTCTGTGAAGTGTTACATTTTGGACCTCTCAAAATTGTTGAATGCCTCTTCATTGAGACCCTACTTGCCTGTACTATCCTATATATAGTATGTTATCTCAATAGGTCACACTGCCTTATAACAGGAGAGCTCTGGCATGTTGAAGTTTCTCTACCATCTACCTGTGTGCATTGATTTGGTGTTCTTTCTCCTTCCTTCTACTCTTCCAAGTAAATCATCCACCATTATCCTCATATCAAAGAGGAAAATGTAAAGAAGGCCGCCTTCTCCAGAGCCTAGTTTTTTGCTTTTACCTATTTTTTGCTTTCTAATATGACTGCTCCACACTCCAATCTGCTTCCTGTGTAACAAACTTTTAAAAAAATCTTACTTTATTTTCCCTTTCTGTAATGTTCTCCCCTTTTTTCTTTGTCTTACAACTCTTCCTTCTCCTTGCCTTGCCCTCCCACTCATTTCTTCTTTTATTTAAGTGTAAAGAAAGAAAACAACAACAATATCACTTCTTCCTAGTCAATGTAGGAGATGGCTTTCAGGACTCTTACATCTCTGATAAGGAAAATGTAGTACTTTTGCACTTGCCACAAACAGGAAAAACGTGAATTATCAACTGTCAAGAAGATGATTTTTCTGTATGTGAGTTCCTCCTACAAATTTAGAAAGTATACCCCAAATTGTACGTGGTGATTTATGCGACTGTAACCATTTCTCATCACACACTATAAATAATATATTATTGACTTGGTAGAAGGGAACATTTCTCTAGCCTGACTAATCCTACACTTTCATTCTTGTTCTTTAAATTTTGCCACTAAGACATTATCATGTTCCCACTCCTTCATTGACAGTCCTTGCCCCATTTTTTAAAAATTTTTTTTGAGTTGGAGTCTCACTCTGTTGCCCAGACTGGAGTGCAGTGGCCGCTCCTCGGCCTGCTGGGCTCCGGCGATCCTTCCGCCTCAGCCTTCCGAGTAGCCGGAATTACAGGCATGCGCCACCACGCCCAGCTGATTTTTTTTTTTTAATTTATTTATTGTAGAGATGAGGTCTCGCTGCCCATTCGGGTCCCGAACCCGCGGGCTCAGGCAATTCACTCACCTCAGCCTCCCAAAGGCGTGAGATTACAGGCTGAGCCACTGAACCCGGTCCTTGCCTCATTTTGATTCTACACATCCTTCTGGTCTCTGAATTTCTTTTGAATTTACAGCGGGGAAAAAATCAATGTTAGGCTCTTTTTTTTTTTAATGTTCCATTTGTTCATTTTATTTCTGTAAGTAAGCAAAAGTACCTAAACTACAGGGAAGGAATTGAACTGTTGAGAGGCACCTAAATGCAGTGCTTGTTTTGGTATAAGACAACCAGGTTCAAACTCCAGACTCTATTTCCAAACTCCGTGATAGTGGGCAAATGATTTAGCCTAAGTCATAATTGTCTACAAAGAGGGGATGCAACAGTAGGCACTGTCTCAGTGTATTGTGGAAATACAGAGTGAATCATTTCAAGGCTTATGATGTGAGGCACTTATGGGTAATTCAGTAAGCATCATCTCTTTTTCCTTCACCTTGCCTACCCTGGAGTAAGGTAAAATTTAAGAATATGCTGGATGAAGAAGGCCATACTGACTGTAAAGGCTGCTTCCCAATTTGTGATGAATTTGCTGATAAGAAAAGTAAGGAGAATGTCCCCTTTCATCCTTGGCACTCCCTGCAAGGTGACTGCCCTCTCCAAGGAAGAAAGGCTGTTAGTTCTTGGTCAAAGGTGTGGAAAAAGCTCCAGTTAGAAGCACCAAACACATTTTCTAACCATTAGAAAAAAATGCAGAGTCATTAAAAAAAACCCATTAACAGGTTAAGGTGTTAATAGCTCCATCACGGGTCATGATGTGGGCTTAGATCCTCTTTCTATAAAATCCTTTCTTTCTTCACCTTCTCATACCACTGCTGAATTACCTTCCTGGATTCTCCTCCCAGGACTTCAAGCCTAACTTGACTTATCTGTACAACTATGATGCATCAAATAAAAAATACAAAAAGCAAGCTTAAAAAAATAATAAATTTTTGAGGTGATGGATATCCCAGTTACCCTGATTTGGTCATTACATATTTGTATACATGCATCAAAATATCAGGTGTACCCCCAAAATATGTACAACTATGATATATTGACAAAAAATGCAAAAAAAGAGACTAACTTAGTTCACCTTGTCTTTTTCCCACTCGTGTCGGCTCTTTTGGATCCTGTTGGCTTTGCTGTCCTGAGCCTTTGAAGCTGACGCTTTGGCCCTTCCTGGATCCCCAACCTGGCCGCCCCATCTGCACATGTTTACTACCCCCTCTTTCTTCTGAGCCACTCTGTGACAATGACCTTCCCCAAGAGTGGTGGCATTTAGAACTACCCAGATCTGTGTCTCTGACTTTGGTGTGTTGAGGCTTCTTTAGCTTTTAGAATCCCGGCAATGAACACTGGTACAACATGTCTTAAGGTAGATCTTACACAAAGGAAAACAAAGAAAAGGCACTGAGTCAAGGTACCATGGAAGCTATTATATTGCAGGGGCGCTGCAATTGGTTGGTACTACATTTCACTTGTGCTTTCCAGCCTACTCAGCTGTTGGGATTTAATTAGCAGTAATATATTATTGTCAAAGTAATTAAAACCTTGCCTTAATTAAAAACAGAATTGTTTAATTAAAAAGAAAAGGTTTGGCTAACCTTAACTTTCTGTTTGAGAAATACAACAGCCTCAGCTGATTTTCCTGTCTCCCCCGGCTCTCCCCCATCAGGTTTGAAGGTCCGCGAGGTGTTCATCAACGTTACCAGGCAACAAGTGGAGGACTTCCACGGGCCTGAGGACTATTGGTGCCAGTGTGTGGCATGGAGCCACCTGGGTACCTCCAAAAGCAGGAAGGCCTCTGTGCGCATAGCCTGTAAGTACATTACCGGTGACCTTGTCCTGTAGGAACATGGACAAGAGTTAAATAGAGCTGAAGAGGGGCTTTGAGATGTCAGATGCTTCTGCTGAATATAGACTAGAGGACAGTAAGAAACCACCAGAATGGTCTCTACCTCTGCTAAAGTTTATTTTTTAAAACTGTGTTTTAAATGTTTGATAATTTCCTCCAGCGTACAATCAGCAAATCAGTTTGCCTAAAAGATTCTGCCTAGATTGTCAGAGTGCAGGTGTCTCAACAATGCCAGAAAAAACTGTTCCTGAGAGAAAGAAACCCACAAAAATGGATTATGCGGCTCACCATAAATGGCAAAGTTCAAGGGGCATTGATGGGAAAAGTTGAGTGATGACTGTTTACTGTACTTTCCAGCAAATCTGCAAAAATAAGGCATTAAAGACATTAAGAGATTTTTATAGCTTCTGTTAAATCTCTTCTCCCTGTATCTTAAAATATGGAAATGGGTTTTAAAACTGCATTTGTTTGACCCAAGTAAGATTTAAAAAAAACATGCTTAGAAAATAATAAGTAAGAAAGAAAGAAAATTGCTTTTCAGGAGAGTCCAAGATTTCTTTATCATATTTCAGCATCAGTGCTTTTATAATCTAAAAAAGGTTTATAAATACACAAACTTCTTTTCTCCTCCTTTAAAATGTCTTCAGTCCACCCACTCCCATTACCCCACCTCCATGGATCCCCATAAAACCTCCTTTGTGTATATAGCCCCCACCAGAAAGAAATTTAGAGATGGAGGAAGAGATGGTTATTGTTGTTTTATTCAAATATCTCCTTCTGAGAGTGTCATAAAGAATACGGGACAGGGGAGATTTATTTGAGGACTCAAGTAATTCTTCATAGCAGATGTTGATGGTTTAGGGATTAAGAATAGGAGTGAATTACTATTTGCAGAGACATTTATGTTTCTTGGGAAATGAAATCTTCCTCTTAAAATATGCATTTCACCTTCGCTACACTGACTATTTGGGAGGCCCTCTCCTGGATTTTGCTTGGGCCATAATAAGCCAGGAAGAAGAGGTCACCTCATAAGCTATCCTCTTGATGTGAGAGCCATGGGAAATATATTTTCTATAGATATTTAGTTAATTAGCTTTAGTCAACAAATATTTTATAACTTTAAAGTAGCGTGTCAGGGGAGAGGGAATATGTTTGCATTTACTCTTAACGAGTCCCAGGATGGCCTCGGCCAGAACATTTGACCCTATTTAAGAGGAAATAGTTGTCCTCGGGGCTCTATCCTGAGAGGAGAGAGGCAAAACCACATGGAGGATTTCAACATAGGTCCCCTCAATTTCTTTCTGTTCAACCTCACTTTTTTCCTTGCTATTCTTTCTTCACTTCTCTGAGGCCTACATGACCTGGTCTCTTCACTACTATAAATAGCATATCCCTGATATGTCCACGTCCACGTCCCCGTCCCCGACTCTCCCACTTTCATATTTGCTCACTAAATTCCTGATTTCCACTTGCTTGCTAGAAGTCTCCAGCGATTGTTTCCAGGGGAAATCTTTGTTTTTGCTTACAAAGTTTGGCAAAGGAAGGCTCAACTTCACCTTTGTTAATTTCCCATAACCTTTGCTCGGGCATAGTATACTTGGTCCTTCCAGACGCTTTGTTGTTCTGCATGTCATGCTCACATCTCTGACATGTGCCTTCACTCCTGCAGTTACATGTATGACATGGTGAAAACCCAAGCTCCAGAGTCCTGTTGGTTTCTAGTTTAAGCTCCACTCCTTCTTAGTTTTGTGATGTTGGGCAGTTTATTTAATCGCTCTGTGCCTTAATGTTTTCATCGATAAAAGTGTGCCTACTTTATAAAATTATTTTGAGAGTTGGAGGCATTGGTAACTAGAAGGTGTTTAAAACTGTGCCTGGAACAGATGATCACTTATCAATCACCAGCTGTTTTGTGACATTTGATCCCCAGCAGCACCACCATTGTTCACTTCTAGGTGTCTTAATCCTATTGAAACTAATTGAATTAAAATTTTAGTGCCTTAGTAATTTTTCTGTGGATTATAAATATGTGAACTGTTTATAAAAATTTATTCTAGGTCATACCTAGGTATCCAAGTCTCCTAGGCATGATAGAGTAAAAAATGTTAAAGATGGAAAATCTTTTTCTGTTTTATCACTTTCCACCTTTGTAGAATTATTAAGTATTTTTGTGGTAATAATCTTACAAATCTCCTCGGATAAAAAAATATTTTGTCATTCTTGTATATGATATGTATATATGTGTGTGTGTGTGTGTGTGTGTGTGTGTGTGTGTGTGTGTGTGTATGATAAAGATGTGATTTCTAAGCAAAAGTATATCTGAATATCATTAAATCTTATGCAAGTCACTTACTATAATTTTTTATAATGTTTGCAACATATTTTTAATTTCTTTGCATGTAGCAAGTGAGATATTCTTTAATTTCTTTAAAATTATTTATGCAAGCCAAGACATGATTTGTCATTAAATATTGCATTTGACTTGAGGATCAGTGTACATTAAAATGTAAATTGAAATTTAACGAGTGTAATGGCATCAAAAGTTGGGGGGTGGTAGGGAGAATTGCCTTTAGGACCTAGCTTGGAATTCTTTTAATTTGCTTACAGGAGAAAAAAACATCCACTTTAAGAAAAATAACTTTCATGTTATATTGGGATAAGAGAGAAGATTTCTGGCTGCTATTTGTAAGCACTTCCCAGCAAATAACACATGATACATGAGGACAATCTTTATTCCCAATAGATGAAAAAGCCAAATTGGATATAATTCACCATGTTTCCTCTTTTTAAGATTGGTTTTTGAAGTACTAGAGACATCTTAATGTGCTAAATGAGGATTTTGATAGATGAATGTAGCTTATGAATCTGATGACAGTCATCTTGAGGGGCTTAGCAACATTAGTATCATTTTAATATTGTTCATTAAATTGTAGTTCAGCATCAGAGCTCCCAATGCTGCCTATATTTTAACCAATTATCCACTGAGAATTTAACAATTTTAAAAGTGGCATGGGCTAAACCTTCGTGGCAGCTGGGACATTCAGTTGAGGGGTGTATTGACCAGAGTGTCTTGATGTGATCACATTAGCCAATGTTCACAAAACCACCAGGAAGCTCACATGAATGATATCACTTTGAGATCATTCAATTGTAAAGGGAAGCAATGTAAACACAATTTTCTTATTTATGTATCTTATATATTAACTGAAATGGACTCCCAGGAGGTATTAGTTAAATATGTAGAGTCCTGGCTTCCACCCCAGACCTTCTGGATGAGACTCTGGCTTCCACTCCAGACCTTCTGGACGAGAAAACTGTGCTTGTGTCAAGTTATCCAGGTAATTCTATGATCAGGTGATTTGGGAATGTCTTGCCCAGGAGCAGTGTTTCTCAAACTTTAACATGTATGCAAATCAAGTAGGAGTCTATTAAAATGCTGGATGACTCAGGTAAAATGATTCAGTGAGTCTGATGTAAGACCAGCAATTTTTATATTTTTCGCAAGCTCTCTGAATGCAAATGCTGCTGGTTGGTCTATGGACCATACTTTCAGTCACAAGCCCCCAGGATACCTTTAATTTGGAAATGTTGATTTAATTTATTCATGCAAATTCCTCATTTAACAGCTGAGAAAGTGAAGTTCCAAAAGACAGAAGGATAGGTAAGCCAACCACAGTGGCATGCTCCTATAGACAGCTATTTGAGAGGCTGAGACTGGAGGATCACTTGAACTCAAGAGTTTGAGGCTGCAGTGCACTGTGATTGCACGTGTGAATAACCACTGCACTCCAGTGTGGATGACAAAGCAAAACCCTGTTTAAAAAAAAAAAAAAAAGCGGAGGGTGTGTGACCAAAGGTCACCAGCTGATATAATGGCAGACAGGGAACCAAATCTTATATCTTTCACCCCCTCCATATTCTGAATGTTCTTGCTACTAAAGTATGTTGATTATTTTCTGGTAAAAAGGAAGTTTAAAAACCATAATAAAAAAAGTTCATGTGCATTTGAATGTTTCCTTGAAGAAAGCATGGATTACTTTTCTTTCTTAATTCTATTTATAAGTAAATTGCATTTCTCCTCATGGTTCAGATATAGGGTGTGTGTGTGTGTGTGTGTGTGTGTGTGTGTGTGCACGTGTGTGTGTGTGTGTGTGCGCGTACACGCACACACACACGACACACGTGCACAGGCACACACACACACACACACACACACACACTCACACTTTTTTTTTTTTAGGAGCCAAAGTGCCTGTCATCTTCAACTATTGTTTTTTTCTTAATAATACCACACTGTGTCAGGAAGATGTTGGTTCCCCATCCAACTGCCTGAGGTGGTGGTGGGTCGGGGGCCAGTTTCAAAAGTGATTTTTGTAAAGGTAAAAATAAATAAATATGCCAACCCACATTACCCCCACATAGTTGGCAGAAATCCGTCTCTAGGGAATGAGTCCCACAGGCCCCCCTTTCATTTGTCTGGTTCAGTTGAGCCGGAGGTAGATGGGTGCACTGTGACATCTGTTACTTCTGCTGCTAGACACTTGTCAAAACTAGGCATATTCAATTATTCGTAGTTGTTTATTTTCATGGGCGAACATTTGGCTGCTTAGCTCTTTCTTTCTTGTTTTTCTCCTTCTTACTTATCTGCTTGTAAATTGTTGGGTCTGTATCATTAACCTTGGTCCAAATCCTTCTTGACACTTGGGCCTTTTCTCCAATATTCCCATACCCCTAACCCTTAAATAAAGGAATCATTTGCCTGTTGTAATCAAGTTATAACTAGTTGGCCATTTGAAAGAAAACACAGCAGAAAACCACTATTTTGGATTTTTTAAATGTATAAAATGTAATACATCCTGAACATAATTTAAATATTCTGCTTATTTGAGTCACACCTAAAATATCTATGCAGTTGCACCAAGAATGAGTGAAAAAATTAAAGGAGACTTTCATTTAAAAGCTAT